CAGCCTGGGCTACAAAGTGAGCTCAAGGCCAGCCTGAACTGTGTATCGAGATCCTGTCTCAAAAAAAAAAAAAAAAAAAAAAAAAAAAGAGACAGAGTCTCCTTATGTAGCTCAAGCCGTCCTTGAACTTGCTAAATTGCCCTGACTTGAGATCCTCCTGCTTCAGCCTCCCTGGTGCTAGGGTTATAGGTGTGCACTATCACAGCCAGGTAATTTTTTTTTTTTTGACGTAGTATAGGCTGGCCTTGAATTCCCAGCGATCCTCCTGCCTCAGCCTCCTGAGTGCTGGGATTACAGGCATGCACCACCACACCCGGTTTATATTCTTTTTCTAAAATTATATTTTACTTGTTTTTTTTGAGACAAGTTCTCACTGTGTATCTCAGGCTGGCCTTGAAACCACTATTTGGCCCAGTCTGGCCTTGAACTCATAGTAACCCTCCTGCCTCAGCCTCCCTGGTGCTGGGATTACAGGCCTGCAGTGAATGCCCTTGGCCTGACCTGGCCATCTTCACCCAGGATGGACAGAGCTGGCGTAATTACAGCTCAGCTGACTGTCACTGTCACTGAGTGTCTCGGGGCTCAGTGAGGGGTACACAGCCTCCCCCGTGCCTTCAGCCCTGCTGCCCAGCTCGCAGCTGTCCCAGGGCCATGCCGGAGGAGCCGCCTCGTTTGCCCACAGCAGATTTCAGACATGGATGGGAGAGAAACTCCTGACAATTTGCACAATTCAAAAGTGACTTTCCGCCACGTGTGGTAGCACATGCCTCTGACTCCAGCACTGGGAAGGCTGAGGAAGGGAGGTCACGAGTTCAAAGCCAGGCTGGACTACAGAGTGAGACCTTGTCCCAGAAGGAAAAAAGGAAAACTGCCCCATTTCTCAATGGGTTCCAGCAGAAACTGGTGATAAAAGCCGACGCAACTCCGAGAGGAGACACTGGCGGGGGCTGGGCTGGGCAGTAAGGAGCCACACGCTTCTGTCAGGTGGTCACGCGGTGCCATCGGTATCAGGGTCAAAGTGACCTCACTGTATGGAGCTAAGAAAATCCCACCGGCTGGACAGCCGCTTTCTTCCCTGGGACTCTTGATCTCTGTTCTGTGTGATCAGCACTAGCGAGGCAACAGTAAGTGTGAAAACTGTTTGTGGGTTTGTTTGAGGCAGGGTCTTGCTGTATATTCCAGGCCAGCCTTGAGCTTCCAGTCTGCTTCCTGCCTCAGCCTCCCTCTGACTGTAAGATTCCAGGTGTGCGCCACACCTGGCTAATGTGAAGGCTGTAAAAAAAAAAAAAAAAGGCTAATAAGTTATTTCTAAATTTAATGAAATAAAATTGGAATTGAAGACAACATAGGTTTCCAACTGGCTACTGATATATATATATATATATATATATATATATATATTTGTCTTTTTGAGACAGGGTCT